ATAAACCAATATTCTTTTACAGTGAACGCATATTAATTTGGTCCCAGTGCTACAACTCTGCCAGAGATTACCAGAAGAAACTTTGACACACCATTTCCATGAATTTGAATGCACGTACACAAATATGCAGCAAACGGTGAAAAGGACGCAGCATTAGAACCACTTTAAAGGGTACCTCACTTTTCAAACAGCGTTTCCAAGCAGACATGGAATACAAACAAAAATTTAAATTAAACAGGAACTTCTAGATGCTGATTTGGAACAAGGCCTTAACCATATATGCATATTAACGTTCGTAAATGTTTGCATCAGGAACCAAAGGCATAGACGAGGCTCAAGAATCCCACTGAGACTTGAAAAGTAAAATCAACCGGTTGTAAGTATGTTGGCAGAGATCATTCGTTGGAAGTATTTAGCCTCAAATCATCCAGCCTACCAAGTTGTGGTGCCACATCTGTGCTGGATAGTTTTCTACACTAACAATGCATGTAGAAATGATCGCTTCTTGAAATTATCGTTTCATGTTGTGAGGTGCTTCAGTTTAGTGCTCAGGTTTTCAGATGTGGCACAAACGCATCTTTGCCACAATGATGAAGGAACAAGTTGAGTAGCCTAACCTCAGAATGACAACATTAACTCCCTAAAATTCACAAAGGCACCTCACAAAACGAAAGCGCCAGTATTAATCGCATGCCTTCAAAGCGATGCCCTATAGAGAGGGATAGCGAAACTGAGAGCAGAAAAGGGAAAAAGAATTTATGCCAAATTATAACCTTAGGTACACGCTTGTGGGTCCATCATTAAAGGCTAAATACTGGCGACAGCACAAGCGCACTCACAAAAGAGGCGCAAAAGTAGCAGTGCGCGATTTTTTGAGCAATAAAACACTTCTGGTCTTTTGTGGAGTCTTTTCTAAAAACACTCAGCTGTAGCGGCAGAAGCCATCCATCGTAAAGCAGGTGTTTCGGCTAAATTTAACCATGCTCAAAAACCTCTAGATATCAATATGGGAAGAGTGGGTACGATTTTACAAAAGCTTAAATGGAGTCTAGAGATCTTGAGGGACTGGCAAACATAAATCCCCGTCATTATAACAGGATAAAGCATCAAATTCAAGCATTAATGCAAATAGAATAAAGGAATAATGTAAGAAGTCCTCGTGTGCGTCTTGTGCATTCAAAATAACACAAGAGACCATAGACACATATATAAAGCAGAAATATAACTTACATCGCAGCACTTTCGATCGCACTTGTGTCGCCCGCAGGATTTCTTTTTCCGGCATACCCTTTCACACAAAAATTTGAAGGAGTCTGAAGCGTAAAAAGGTAGCCACCTTGCTAGTATGCTAGCTGCCCCTCATGTTTCATGTAAATACAGGGAGGTATAACCAAAATGACGATGTGCTACTATTCAATTCGAAAAATATGTGACCTAAGCTAACACCTACAGGCATCCGAGGGGTAATCAAAAGGTTGAAATTACTAGGCACAACTGATGACAAATGGAAGAAAGGTGAAGAAACATTTACTTGGATCCTTCTTCACAGCCTGGGTATATTCGAGACAGGGAATCTCCTTGGAAGACTTCCCACAACGACAAGTTATCTTGGTGGTGAGCTTGCATTGAGGGCAATTGGGACCTGGGTGGCACTTTTCCGGGCAAGGATGTCCGCAAATTGAGTTCGGACGGCCGCAAACATTTGGACATACGGGGATGGGATCAGTACACTCTTTTCGATTCCCATGTTCATCTCCGTTCATGACCTGGGAAGCATCAGAAGACAGGCGATTGCTCGTGCCTTTCTAGCGACTTTTTAAAACCTCACAGGTATCCCATGCTATGCGGAAACGAAACGATAAATAACAACTTACATCATGGTCTCTAATAA